TAAGTGATAGCAAACTGCAACCCGCAGCCAAGAATGCCGATTGTTTCCACTTCCGCGAGTTGCTTAAAAGCAAACGAAAAATTTTACAAATCAACGAATCGTAGTCACTCGCCAACTCTAACCAATAATCTGAGCTTGAAAGAAGACCCGATTTATCTCATCGCTTCTTTCCTATGCTGTGAGACTAAAAATAAGTGTGCGAGCTACCTGAACCCGTTGTTTCAGTTTGTCCTGTAACTGTAGTGTTGTTTCAGCACACCAATCAGCTGTAGCCAGTATGCAACATGTGAAGAACTGCTGATCAACTGTTAGACGCACTGCTGTTTCATCCCTGCAATAATTAGCAAGGAAACACATAGAAAGAAGGATCTGCTAGGCGTGGGGTACGTTTGCTCATAAGGTCACGCATTAAGTGCAGTACTGGCCAGGCAAAAAAAGTGAACAGTCAGAGGAATTTCACAAAAAGTTATTAGACGCATAGCAGAAAGAACAGTAAATGTATAGTTTGGAAGAGAAAAATAAGCTACAGAGTTGAGGTTCTCGAATTCAACCAATTTTGATGGTAAACAAATGTATGATATGAGGGAACGACTAAAAAAACGGCATTAAATGCAACAGCGATCGTCACACAGCAAATGGCCAAACGCTTTCTCGAACGAGCTCTGCAAAATGCAACAATACCTGCCAGTCAGGAAGTCAAAACTGCCAGCAGCCAACTTCGAAACAATCCGCAGAAGAAGTTGAGCTAATAGGAGCATGTTTTGCTGCTACCATCAGCTTTCAATTAGGCCACTTTCAGTCCGATTCTCACCAATGTACGGATGGATTTTGGTTGAATACCGAGGCCCAAACTCCGGTTTATCAAAGATAATTAGAAATATAACGTGCAAATAGCGTATGGTCGAAAATAAATAAATCAAAATCTGCCCCGAAATCAAGTTCGTTTTTTCAGGTCCTCACAAATTATAACTCCGGATCTCAGGAAAACTAAAAGTAATACCTCATTAAAGTTTGCAAAATGGATGTGGACGAGAACTGAGCTGACGAAACAGATGGTAAAAAAGCTGTCAAACAACCATGCGCATATCCACGTAGACAGCCACGCAACACTTCCATAAGATCTCTGAAACAAAAAAACTCAGAAATTTCTCTCGGAAAAAACACGTGACGAAATATAAAAGACACTAATAAGACGTGAATAACACGTCATGTCAAACAAGTGGTTGAACCAGAATTAGAAATATGTGGCCCAGAGTACGGTTGCATCTCAGAAATGTAGAGATGTCTCTGTGTGATACCAACGCTGGAATGCACCAATGCCGACGCGATCATGCAACTTTGGGCTAAAGTTGAAGCAAGCAGGTCATTAACGATATGGATGGTTGTTGCTTTACATTTAACTTGCGCGCTAATTGATCGAACCATCGTGGGTTTTGCATAAGAGGAAATAAACACGGACGATCGTTTTTTAAAACAATCCAGCTGTTCAGTGCGCAATTTTCTGCCAAAACCTTTACCTGCCTGTATGTTAGAGACAAGCATATATGGAAGCCGAGTTTGAAATCTATGAGCTAAATGTTGGTAAAAGATAATCCATTAAAATTTTAGTTTCTCCATTTTTCTGGTCCTCGATCTAGCAGTTTTCCTGCCAAAACTACGCGGGGCTCAGACGTGCGTGGAAGTTAGTACCACGTCCCTGAAGTCACAGGTAAGCAGGGAACCTACTGGCGAAACTTCATAGCCAAAACTTGCACGATTGTTGGGTTGAAATATCTGGAAGAACACATACACATACCATGGGTCGTCGCAATATGCGTTTTTGCATTTGCATACATACAAAAAAGCATAAATCCTGACGCAAGTCTCGGATTTTCGAATGGCCACGCAGATCCTCTCAATTGGCAATGGTTTATATTACGATGTAAGAATGGCTACAATCCAGGCAAAATGATGAACACAACAAAAACACGAAACGGCGAAAACTGTAAAATCTATTGCTAGAACCACCGCACAAGTAATCTGCTCAGGAATGAAACGAAAGTCAGAATTGCCGATCTCTGAACACCAGGCAACACAGCACTGACCAAAGCTACTGGAAAAGTTGCCAGCTGCATAACT